AATGTGCAACACCTTGGACATGGATAGATTTATACTGCCATGCCTCCCAAGTGTACATTTCAAAGTGAAATTTAGCATAAATCTACACTCAAACATTTTGATAAAGGTCACTTCAAAATTAGCAAAACATAACTTGAATGCATAGTTTATAAGAGAGACATATTAACAGCCTTTTGTTTGGATCCATTTTGTATGCAACCTAGTTGCATATTATGCTGATTAGATCAAACAAGAACCATTTAATGTAAAAATACAAAATTTCTTTATTGCAATTATGTGAGCCTATTACCTGTTATGGAACTATTGACTTCTTTAATAAGCTTGAGTCGGGGCTCTAAATAATCTTATTTCACTCACATAAATGCCTTTGCCACCTGTCAGCTTACACTAACCTGTAGGGGAGCTGCATGTTTACTTTTCATTTTACTTGAAATGTATAACCTGTTTGCGCCCAAATAAATAAACATACAAAATAGAAGCACTAGAATACAGTTTTGACCTAAACTCAATTGTTAGTCCTAAGTAGAGTAACTCTACTGAATTACATGCAAAATTGGTAAATCACCTATGTAAGTTCCAATAATTCAATATGTCTACTCCCATTCATTTAAGATTTCTTAAATATTTTAAACAATAAAACCTGTGCATGGTAGTGATTTGAGCGTTGGACTAGAACTCTGGAAGGATTTGAATTCCTGCTTGGCTTTGGAAACCCACTGGGTGACCCTGAGCAAGTCACACTGTCTCAGCCTCAGAAGAAAACAAAGGCAAATTTCCTTTGAATTTTTTTTTTACCAAAAGCACTCTATTATAGAATTGCACTAATTGGAAATTACTTTAAGTCACACAATAACAAAATATAATGCAGACATTATTCCCCCCCCCCCCCAAATGCAAAGCCACAGTAATAAAATAAAGCAGCTTCATTGTAAGAAAGAATATCAAATTTGGGTACATTTTTACAAGACAACTCRAGTGAGAGATTGGAAACTCAATTTTTACATAGCACCGAGTCACTGCTCTGCCTTTGACAGCATCAGTACATGACCACTTCAGTAATGATAGTGACTGGTTTGCATAGACAAATGTTTTAGAATCAATATTTACATCACTATTGTATATTTACATGTCCATCATCAATTAACACAGACAACAGATATTTCTATGAAGTATTTGCTGTTATTTCCAATACAAATCAATGCAACTATTTCTTTAAAAATAGAAATTAAAGAGTATGTAAAGGCTTATGAATTTCCAAATGTTTCTCTATTACTGGCTTCTCATCAAAATGGCCTTTTATTTGAAGTGCTCTGGGATCTTTCTGCACTAATATTCCAGCAGGCCCTTAAGGATACCACAACAAAACTATCACAAGTAGCACAGAGCTTCTGGAACTAAAACCCAGATACTCCCCTTTCCTGTTTTTGATGCACTTCAACATTTAAAACAATTCGTTAGGAAGCAAAATATGGCAGTGAAGAGAATGTGCTCTGGTACTGAATAGCTCTACATCTGAAAGGGCACAATCACAGCAACACTCCATGCAAGAAATGTCCATGCTAGGCCTCTTAGGATGGAACTAACTATGTATTATCACAGCAAAATGCATATTCATTCTCAAGTAATGAAAACTGAATGGAAATAGAGAAGACACAGGAGAGCCAAAAAGACCGAAATCTCTTTCCCATGCCTACCCAATACTTCCCAGCAAATGCCCCTGCAAGGCCATTTTCCCTTCAGCTAAGCTTATTTCTGGTTTCAGAGCCTGGAGAGAGGGGGGGGGGGGGATAAAAAAACAACAACTCACAATTAGATTTGTAGGCAATAACTGGGAAGAAATGTTAATGCCAACAATTCACTTCATAAAATGAGACTATATATGTTAGAAACCACATGTCTGTCCCATGATGTGCAGTTTTACCCTCCTTGTGAATATGACAAAAATTACAAATATGTCCTATAAGAGACAGAAAAGGGGGAATACAACAAAGTCTTTTGCAAAAAGAAATCCAATTATGTACGAAAAAGAAATTACATCAGTTGAAACAAGAAGAGGATGCCAACCTGCATTCACACATATTTGGTCTATACATGCTCAAAGTCCCACTTTGGAAATTCCAGAGTAAAAGGTTTTGACAGTCGTCCCACCCCTCCAGTTTTATGTGCAGATTCATGTGAACTACCATTCGGTGCTATGTCAGCAAGTGCAGTAAGCAATAGGTAATAATAGCATATATTGTCAAAGGCTTTTATGGCCGCAATCACTGGGTTGTTGTGAGTTTTCCGGGGTGTATGGCCTTTTACAGAAGCATTCTCTCGTGATATTTCACCTGCATCTGTGGCAGGCATCCTCAGAGGTTGTGAGGTTTGTTGGAAACTAGGAAAATGGGGTTTATATATCTGTGAAGTGTCCACGGTGGGAGAAAGAACTCTTTGTCTTTTTGAGGTAGGTGTGAATGTTTCAATTGGCCACCTTGATTAGCATTTAATGGCCTAGCAGTTTCAAGGTTTGGTTTCTTACTGCCTGGGGGAATCCTTTGTTGGGAGGTGATTAACTGGCCCTGATTGTTTCTTGTCTGGAATTCCCCTGTTTTTGAGTGTTGTTCTTTATTTACTGTTATGATTTTAGAGTTTTTTTTAATACTGGTAGCAAGATTTTGTTCATTTTCATTGTTGCTTCCTTTCTGTTGAAATTGTCCACATGCTTGTGAATTTCAATGGCTCCTCTGTGTAGTAATAGCATGTTTTGTATGTACAGGGATTGGCAACTGAAAGAATCTATTTACAGGTAACAATGTTCTTCATTGTAGCTTCTGCCCAGCACAATTAAGAATCAGTAAATTTATCTCATCCTGGCAAGTTAGGAGGTACATCACTGTCATATTGAACAAAGTATCATTTCCCCAAAAGGCACATCCACTTTCAGCTACCAGATAATGCTGCCAGATGAACACTGATGAGTGTCACCAGATTACGGCTCTATGCAATTCCATCAAGAAAAGCACCTATACCTGTCACTGTTCTACTCAAAAGACCTCATTGTTGTGACAATTAATAACAGCTTCACTATCTAATATGACAGGGGTATTTCACTGATCCCCCACCTGACCACACTTATGACTACAATCTTTTCCCTTCTTTGTTCTCAAATGATAAACAGTCATTAAGTGTTAAGTGTTATGTTAGAGTAAAATATCTATATGACATACAGAGAATGCAGAAGAAACAGTAGATTTGGACAAAAATAGCTGTAATTATGTTCAGGACAGGTGAAAACTATGAACTACCTTGAAAAGACAAACGTGAGATTCAGCATAAGAATATTTCTTTTTCTTCTTCAAACAGGCCAGGGGCCAAAATTACTCTTAAGTAGAAGACCAAGTCTCCTGTTTCTTCTGCAGCTGCATTTTCTCATTAGGGTAGTATGAAGTTGTTGTTTGAGGTGTTAAGAATCAAGGGAACTGGAAAAGGTCTAGTGCAGTGGTCCCAACCTTTGATCCCCTGCTCTAATGTGATCCCCATGCTATACTCTGTCAGCCTTTTCAGCAGAGGTGCAGTGAAGTGTCTACCCTCCATTGAAGGGATGGTAATTTCTATTCTTAAAATGGTTGAGAGGGTGGGTGAATCTGAAATACCATTCTGCTAGCAAATTGTCATACTCTATTCAACAGCTGCCCTTGTACAAAGCCAGTGGTTTATGGTTATAGTTCCCTAGATATTTGAACTGAGGTTAAAAGCAGGTTCAAAATATGGTATATTGAATACTTTCAGGAACACATCATGAAAAGAGTCAAAATGCCCAATGGAATCTGATTGAGTAGAAGATATGGAAGCCTTCATGTTATGCTAGACAGTTGCTCAGTGTCAGTGATAGTGTGCACTTGTCACTTGGCAGGAACAAGAGCTTCACCACAACAAACAGGAGGAAGCAGACGATTGGATGACATCCCTATCAATCTAGTTAATTTGACAGCTTGTGATAATTGTCAAATTTTTCATTGATTTTCTCAAAAAACCAAATTTCACAGAAAGGCATATATCATCTACTTTTGTTTGCAGATTTTGATTTAAAGCTACAGCTTGAAGCCATGCATATCTGTCAACGAGAGCTATTTTGATGTGCCATCTGCAGACAGTCATACTGAGATAAAATGCATACTAAAATATTATCCACTTTTGCCACACACAAAAATGGATGAGGGTACTTCTATTTTATCCTGCATGGATGTTCCATCAGGTCTGCCATCTTGTCTCAAAGGAACAGTTGGTATTGGCCTGAACATGCTTGATGATATGCAGTTTTTAAAGACGTACATCTTATGACTCATGGTATTTATTTATTTCAAACATTTGTATCCCATCCTTCTCACACACCCCCTCAGGGGGGGGGCACTCAGGGTGGCTTACAACTGGCAACAATTAGATGACAACACATAAAAGCAAAAGCAATCTAACACAAGTTAAACATTAGTTAAAACATTAAATTCTAAGATATCCATTTTAAACGTTATTAACAATAATAACCACAGTACCCAAACATTTGAACAGAATGGAAGATCTGATTAGGATGCTACAATAATTAGATTAGGTGCTAAACATATGAAAATAAACTTACAATTTTCCTTTTATACTGGGAGTGGAGATGGGAGTAGAATGGCACCTAAAAGTCAACTGATTTTCCTCACTTCCCATTTAAAATCCCTGGTAACTCTGAATAACGCCCAATCAGTATCCAGGGCTTCTGGGAAAGGTGATGTTTTGGCGCAGAGGTAAATTTGGGAGTCATGGATGCTTCTAAGCAGAAATTTACCTACTTGGGGGTAATTTTTTAGAAACAAAGTTAAGAGGGAAGTAATGCCACAAATGATCTTGAGAAGAGAACTACTACTGTTGGGGCAGATAAGACAAAATTGCATACTAGCTAGCTTGAACCTAGTCATAAGGAAGGAGAGACAGTGACCCTATATTATACTGGGAAGCAGGATTATTATTTACCTTACCATTCATATCTGCAAATTTCTGAACATCAGCCAGAGTTTTCAGCTCACTCTGTGGACATGCCGACACACAGAGAGCTATAGATTTGATTTTCCGTTTTACCAGGTCTACGTTGCAGGGTTCCAAAAAAAACACATACCTGAAATAAAAACAAATACATAAAAATTCCATTAGAACAACAAAAGGACAACACAAAGCTTTAGATAAGAAATATTCTACGAGTAAAGAAATACTTAATTCATTTTTTTCAACCTTATTATATTTTTTCTTCATCCAAAATGTAATCTCTTTTCCTATAAAAGGAATCTTGGGTATGATTTACACTTTTGAAAACTTTTTAGGACACTTTTAGAGTTCAAAATGACATCTCTTATCATATGATGGTGTTATTATGAACCTATGTCAGCTAAGGCAAATCCATTACAGGCTTTTCTTGGCAAGATTTCTTCAGAATCAAAGAATTATAGAATCATAGAGTTGGAAGAGACCACTTGGGCCATCCAGTCCAACCCTCTACCATGCAGGAAAAGCACAATCAAAGCATCACCGAAAGACGGTCATCCAGCCTCTGTTAAAAGCCTCCAAAAAGGAGAGAATGCAACTTTCACAAGATCACCCAATGGGTTTCTGGACAAGCAGGGATTCAAATCCTGGTCTCTAGTGTTGTAGTCCAATACTTCAAACCTCTACACCACAATGGTTCATAGTGGAGGTATGCTTGGCTTTAACATTAAGAATTGAAACCTTTTAGTTCAAACTAGAACAGATTAACTCAATTGTTGATTAGTGAGCTAGATATGAGCAAATGTCAGCAGGACACAAAGACAGAAACCACGAAAACAAGAAAGTATTGACTGTCAAGGAATGGGGGACCATGGAGAATAAAGAAGTGCTAGCAACCTCACAACACATCTCCTAAGTACAGCATTACCTCTCATTTCTCCGTGATGTTTTCTCCTGGAACAATCAATTATTTTACCTAATTATATCTTTTTAAGATTTCAAAGTATGCTTCAGAGTATTTCATAATTATATATAGCAACTAATTTTGGCATCTATCTATAGACATTCAAAGGTGGCCACACTATTTATAAATGCCCTTCATTTCAGTGGCAATGAGCACAATAAATGTTGAATTTACAGAATAATTTACAAGAGAACACTGGTGGTTATTTTGACATATCTGATGCAGAAAAGTAGCAACTTACTTTAATCAATTGTTCACAGTCAGAGATTGATCTCCAGCACATTAATGAGCTACTGTTCATGCATTTCAACATTTCCACTATAAAATGAATTTTATAACCACTACATAAAAACTCAGCTATTACTTCAAATTGGAGCCTGCAAGATGATTATTACAATCTCAGCCTCACACTAACATACCAAGTAACAATCACTTAGTAAAATTATATCGGTAGTTTGCACTAAAGCAGTATCTTTGATACATAAATATTATGAAAGTAGATTAGTATTTCCACATTATTATTGTGGTTGTAGTTTTTGTATGCATTCAAGTAATTTCTGATTTATGTTACAGGGTTATTGTTTTGTGTGTGTGTGTGTGTGTGTGTTTTGCAAGATTTGTTCAGAAGCAGTTTGCCATTGCCTTCCTCTTATGCTGAGACAGTGTGGCTTGTTGCCATTGCTGAGCATGCATTCAATCCCGACTCCCACAGGCTCTTAATCCAATACTCAAACTACTACAACCACAAATAAATCAGTTTTGTTCCTAATAATGTTAAACAACTTATACAACTGTGTCTTAGCCCCAGTTCAAAGAGTTTGAGGATAGCAGCGTGCATTGTAAGCTAGAATTCTGGACATAGTTTTATTTTGGACTTGTAAGAAGTTAGATATATTTTCTCCTAGAAAATAAATATGCACAGTTAGAGAAGTTCATACACACACACTAAGACAGACAATTGTCTTGAAGGAGAAAAATGCCAATGAAAGTAAAGATAAAATTATACAGATGTACAAAAACAATGAAAGAAAACAAGGAAAGCATTTGTAATATATTGTATGAAAATATATATTGTAAGCCACTCTGAGTCCTCTTCGGGGTGAGAAGGGTGGCATATAAATTCCGTAAATAAATAAATAAATAAATAGTTGACTATACATTATTGTAAGATTCTACTAGATTCATTTTATGATCTGGGGCAAAAAAAAAAGACTTTTTTTTGTCAATTTCAGGAAGAAATGAATATGGAGTTCCACCACTTTCCAGAGGGGTGAGTAAAGTGTAGCCCTCATGCTATTTTTGTAACTTCCAATATAAAAAGGGGGAGAGGCTCTCCCCATAAAACAATGACAAACTCCACCTCCTGAAGCTTTTGACTATTCCCATAAGGGGCCTTTTTTGAAAACTATGAGTGACCACCTTCGAAAGCCCCCATGGACCAAAAACAGCTCTGTGGCCAAATCTGTCCAAAATGGCCAACCAACCATGCTCAAAGGGAATCTTGAGGACAATATTGGTCATTTTACTGGATTAGACAAAAATATCTGTATATTTTTTTCAATAAAATGGGTTTTTTTTCAAGGCTTCATCTCTTTTTAATCATATTCCGGGCTTATTTGAGTCCTGGTATTGGGAGAAAGGGGAGCTATCAACAAACTAATAAATAAATGTATCTTATTGAAATACTTTCAAGTAATAGATCTAGGCAGTACCTTTCATACATACTCATGTATAAGTTAACCTCATGTATAAGTCAAGGGCAGGTTTTCAATGAAAATTATGGATTTTGATATGACCAGTAGATTGGTCAAGGATCATTCTCTGGGGAGAGCAAAGCATTAATGTCAACTCAGGGGGCCAGCCATTCCTTGACACTACTGCTATTTTTCCCTCCTAGGCATTCAAAAAGGCCAGAAGTGGCACAAAGGCAACGAGAGTAAAGGAGGTTGGTATTTCTTTTAGTTTCTCCCAGGATGGGCTATGCTCTTGTCTTTTGCCTCTCAATTTTGGGTTGATATTTTGACTAAAAATTCCAGAGCTATCCATGAGCATAGAGTATCTTTTAAGGAACATACTAAATATCTTTATTGATTTCTTTAGTAAAAGCACTTGTATCCACTCTTCATAAAACATCCCAAAATAATGTACAAAAAGGAAACATAAAATAAATTATAATTTACATAATATAAAAACAAAAGATGAAAATGCTGCTGTGGTCCAGGACAGGTAAATAAAAGGACACCAATGACTGGCATGTAAAACCAGCAAATGCCTGTGTACAAAAGAAAGGGTTTGGCCTCTGTCTCCATTCAAGAGAAAAAAATATTCCAACATATCAGTTTCACATGGTGAAGGTATCTGAAGGGATGAGAAAGGAAACCATGATTGGTCAGGTGATAAGCAGAATTGTGCTGAAATGTAAATATGCATCCAGAAAGCTACATGGAAAGAAACCCTTTTCTGTATTATTTATGTTCAGGAAGGATAAATTTGCTCAATTCCAAACAAAGTATTAATATTATTCTCATCCAAGTGAGCAGGGTGGGAAATTTGTTTTTTTTTTACTGGAAAAGGCGTGGCTTTTTCCTGCCCATATCTAGCTGTAACCAATATCACCACCAGCTATTAAAAAAAAATTGTAAGGATTTTTCATATTTTTCCTAATATGGTTAAAAGAGTAGACTTTTCTTTTGAAAAAATAAGATTTTTATAAACATTTGAACACGAAACGAAGGGAGTATGAAATAATTCTATATACTACATGTAGACTTGCACTGAAACCATCTGCTAAGTCAGCTGCTGAGCAGATGGAGAACTTTATGTAGTGATCCCAATGAAATGAAAGTAATACATACATGCAAAAAGTATTAATTATTTGTAATACATTATAACAGTACTAATCCTATTAGAGGGTGCGTTATCTGCCTGATTTGTTGTTCAAAACATGACAGATTAATGTAAGAAGTTGCAAAAAATGCTTGAAAAAGTTGTTAAAATAAACCATTATATTTCCAAACCACCGATAATAACACATTTTGTAGAGATTCTGCATGTATAAATCAGTTCATGTTGTAAGGGTATTTAATAGATTCCGGCAATCCAGATTATAAATGTTATGTTCAGGTTTTGCTATCTTTAGCACAGCTACAATGTCAAAATCCATGATTAATGACAAATTGTAACATTTTATGTCTATCATCATCATAATCATCCATTTATTCTTATAGTGTCATCACTGTATATGGTATTTTATAAGCAAAAGAAGAATTTCCTGCCCCCAGGTTTGGAATCTAAAGACAGGACACAAAAAGGGAAATTGCCAGTGTAGGAAAGGATTAAGCCCAGCAGATCCTGCATTTTCGTCTCTCCCTTCAAAATCAGGGCAGTGGCAGTTGGAATGCAGGAAGAGCCTTTTATCTGCTTCTGAGTACGTGAAGCTTTTATGATCCAGCAGCAGAAGCTACAACACTTAGCTTGAGCTGGTGACATTTGCTATTTCATAATGTCTTTAATTTCTTGGCTGATTTATATATGGGTCAATGTGAGCACTGTGCCTTATCTGTTATCAGAAAAAGGAACCACCCCCTCCTTGGAGCAGAGTGGTGAAAGGTGAGGGCTTAGTCCATTCAGGAGGACATAAATAGAACCAACCCCCTCAACTCCCTCTGCCTTTTAGAATGCCTGAATGGGAAAATATGTGCAGCAGTGGTCAGGAGCTGCTAACCACTGAGGCAGGATTAGTACTTTTCTCTCTTGACTCATCCACTAAAATGACCTGATACTTCAAATCGGTGCCACCTTGATTAGCATTGAAAAGCCTTGCAGCTTCAAAGCCCGGCTGCTTCCTGCCTGGGGGAATCCTTTGTTGGAAGGTGTTAGCTGGACCTTGTTTTCTGTCTGGAATTACCCTGTTTTCTGAGTGTTGTTCTTTATTTACTGTCTTGATTTTGGATTCCCCCAGGTAGGAAGCAGTCAGGCTTTGAAGCTGCAAGGCTTTTAAATGCTAATCAAGGTGGCACCGATTTGAAGTATCAGGTCATTTTAATTATTGGCCCTAGTCTCCTTTTATAGTTCTTTTAATAGTAATGCATATTCCATGTCTGTTAGATACTACAGAAATCTTTTTCTCTATTTTACTATTTATAGTTTCTTCTGTTCTTACCATTTTCTAAAAAAAAAAAATAGTTCTCATACACTGGCAAGACCAAAGAGGTTCCCTGCACTTCATGATCTTAACCAAGTTAAGACTGCAGCAAAGAAGTGCAACTTCCTCTCCACATCCATTACCATTTAAATAATATAACCACTAGCATTACCATTTAATTGTGGGTTCTTTGTAAATTAGTTGCTAGGGAACACAAGGCTGAAGGTGCAGTTGTAGTTCAATCCTGAAACAGACTATGAACAGAATGCATGATTATTCAAACCTTCATTCTAATTCAGCATTGCTATATTTAATATTAGCCTAGCATTTATTTGATATGCTACAAGTTCAGTGAGTGTTGACATGCAAGAATAATATAACTTGCAACTAATGGTAGGACAGATGAAGTTATTAGAACATGAATCTGGAGTCATTTGATCTGATATGTACCATTACATGCTATCTAGGGATCAAAAGATTGAGTACCCTCAAGAAGATCCTTTGCTTGACTCTGAAATATTATGGCATAAATAATTCAGAAAGGAATAGCTAATATTTCTTCTTATTCTTTTTTTTTTGAGATGGTTCCATTGAACAGAAATGAAACAAGTTTCAATGTGGGCCATACCACTATTCCTATCTGTATGCTTGACTGTACTTGTATGCATCCTTTCATCACACAGAAATTCTGAAAAGATGAAGGTCAGAAAGACCAGTACCTGAGACCATGAGGAAAAAGAAACAACATTAATCTGAAGACAGATTGAGAGCCAAGTTCCTCGTGTCTTTTATGACAACAGTCGTTTTTCTGCATGGTTGTCTCACTGTGTCTCACTTTCAATATCTGAAAGGGAAGAAGCCAATGTATCTGCACTGTTATTGAACTCTAGTAAAGGTAAAGGTTTCCCATGACATTAAGTATAATCATGTCTGACTCTGGGAGGTGATGCTGATCTCCATTTCTAACCTGAAGAGCTGGCGTTGTCCTTAGACACCTCCATGTGGCCAGCATGACTGCATAGAGCGCCGTTACCTTCCCGCCGAAATGGTACCTATTAATCTAGTTACATTTGCATGCTTTCGAACTGCTAGGTTGGCAGAAGCTGGGCCTAACAACCGGTGCTCACTCCACTCCCCGGATTCAAACTGCCAACCTTTCGGTCAGCAAGTTCAGCAGGTCAGCGGTTTAACCTGCTGCGCCATCAGGGGGCCCTAAAACTCTAACTTGGCTCAAATGAAGAAAAAAGTTTAGTAGTCCCATCTTCATGATTTAAAATCCAATGCAGTCCAAATACAAATTTCACCTTTTAAGGCAATTTCATCTCTTCCCTTTAAAAGTGTAATTGCATCTATTAGCAGTTCCCCCAAGACAAGGGAGTTACRGATGGATGGGAGTTTTTCAAGAGTGAAATACTCAAGGTGCAATTGCAAATAGTGCCAACAAAGAGAAAATACARAATTCAAACTAATAGCCAACTCCTGTAGGGAAAAGGTCCGCAAGACTAAAGCACAAAAGAGCTCAGGCTTGCCAGGGACATTAAAAACAATAAAAAGGGCTTCTTTTCTTATGTCAGTAGAAAAAGGAAGAACAAGAAGGYGATAGGGCCTCTTCGAGGAGAAGATGGGGCAATGCTGACAGGGGATAGGGAAAAGGCAGAACTACTTAATACCTTCTTTGCCTCTGTCTTCTCACAAAAAGAAAGTCATCTTCAACTGAGGGACTAGAGGACATCCAACCCCAAATTGGGAAACAAGTCATTCAGGAATACCTGGCCACTCTAAACGGATTCAAGTCCCCGGGGCCAGATCAACTACACTCAAAAGTATTGAAGGAACTAGCGGAAGCCATCTCGGAACCATTAGCAATTATCTTTGATAGTTCTTGGAGAACGGGAGAAATCCCAGCAGATTGGAGGAGGGCCAATGTGGTCCCAAGCTTCAAGAAGGGAAAAAAAGATGACCCAAACAATTACGGTCCGGTCAGCCTCATGTYGATACCAGGCAAGATACTGGAAAAGATTGTTAAGGAAGTGGTCTGCAAACACTTAGAAACAAATGCGGTCATCGCTAATAATCAACACGGATTTATCAAAAACAACTCATGCCAGAYTAATCTGATCTCTTTTTTCAATAGAGTTACAAGCTGGGTAGATTCGGGGAATGTCATGGATGTAGCGTATCTGGATTTCAGTAAGGCCTTCGACAAGGTCCCCCATGACCTTCTGGCAAGGAAACTAGCCCAATGTAGGCTAGGTAAAACTATGGCTAGGTGGATCTGTAATTGGTTAAATGGATGAACCCAGAGGATGCTCACCAAGGCTTCCTCTTCATCCTGGAAAAAAGTGACGAGCAGAGTGCCGCAGGGTTCTGTCCTGGGCCCGGTCCTGTTCAACATCTTTATTAATGATTTAGATGAAGGGTTAGAAGGCATGATCATCAAGTTTGCAGACGACACCAAATTGAGAGGAATAGCCAATACTCCAGAGGACAGGAGCAGAATTCAAAACAATCTTGACAGATTAGAGAGATGGGCCAAAACTAACAAAATGAAGTTCAACAGTGACAAATGCAAGATACTATACTTAGCCAGAAAAAATGGAATGCAGAGATACAGAATGGGGGACACGTGGCTCGAGAGCAGTATGTGTGAAAAAGGTCTTGGAGTCCTTGTGGACAACAAGTTAAACATGAGCGAACAATGTGATGCGGTGGCAAAAAAAGCCAATGGGATTTTGGCCTGCATCAATAGGAGTATAGTGTCTAGATCCAGGAAAGTCATGCTACCCCTCTATTCTGCCTTGGTTAGACCACACCTGGAATACTGTGTTCAATTCTGGGCACCACAATTGAAGAGAGATATTGACAAGCTGGAAAGTGGCGACTAAAATGATCAAGGATCTGGAGAACAAGCCCTATGAGGAGCGGCTTAAAGAGTTGGGCATGTTTAGCCTGAAGAAGAGAAGGCTGAGAGGAGACATGATAGCCATGTATAAATACGTGATAGGAAGTCATAGGGAGGAGGGAGCAAGCTTGTTTTCTGCTGCCCTAGAGACTAGGATATGGAACAATGGCTTCAAACTACAAGAAAGGAGATTCCATCTGAATATTAGTTAGAACTTCCTGATTGTGAGAGCTGTTCAGCAGTGGAACTCTCTGTCACGGAGTGTGATGGAGGCTCCTTCTTTGGAAGCTTTTAAACAAATGGATGGCCATCTGTCAGGGGTGCTTTGAATTCCTGCTTCTTGGCAGGGGGTTGGACTGGATAGCCCATGAGGTCTCTTCCAACTCTATGATTCTATGATTCTATAAGATATCAAAAGTGATGCCCACAGATTCAATTTCATTTCATTTCCCATTTTTAGTCTGCTGGATTATTATGGTTAATTTGGTTAACAAATTTTTAAAAAGAAGCAAAGCCAAATTACATAAATCAAAAAGATAAGGAACATAGATCAAATTAAATTTAATTTTAGTCTATCATGATCATATATTAGATCTGCACATTTGTAAGCCTCCCGACCTTGTTGTTTAAGTTATCCGTACTTTTCATTGTAAGCAAATTCCCATTCAGGCATTGCTGAGAAGTAGTATCTGCAATGTTTAAGAACGAAAGAGAAAATATCAATAGTATGCTTCTCTTTGACTTCGATCTGTACTTCTCCAAGAGCCTAAAAATATTTTTACTGTTCCTTTCATTTCCAAGAATCAGTTTCAGTGGAAGAGCCTAAAGTCAAATTGAATTATTGTTTCCCAAAACCCAGTTAAACTCAAGGCTACTTTAAATGTTCACAAAATGAATATTTCACCCCAGACATCACACATATATGAAATTCTGTTTCCTAGAGCCTATACTTTCAAAACTATCAAAGTACCATGGCTACATATTTTCAAACTAAATTGCTATACATTTTCAAACTAAATTGTGGCTGTGCAAGTAATTCTCAGCACTTTCTCAAACAACAGCTGTGTTTCTTTGTGGATACTCAAAAGTTAAGCTTGTATAATACAAATACAAGCATGTAGAACAGATATGTTTTAACGGGGCATTCTCCTAAACTGAAGTGACATTACCTTGTCAGTAATACAAGAACCTCCAGAGAGATACCAGCCATTGTACATATTGCTACAACAATTTCTGTCAAAAGACAAGACACACTAGCAACAGCATTAAAGTGCTGAGATCCTGATTCACAAGAATACCATTAAGGCACACATCACATCCTGAGAAGAATCCAGAAACAAGAATAATTAAGGAGAAATTTAATTGATATAAATTACTAAATGTATATGCTTCTGAAGCTTGAAATTCACTGCCAAAATGAGAGAATATTACATTCCATCTGTTTTTGAAACAGCAATCATAGTAGTTGGCTTGTGTACTCACTTTTTTTCTGTGAGGTCTAAGCCACTGTTTTCTATTCCTTCTACTTTTACATTCTTCTGTCCACAGATATTTCCGTAACTGTCATATCCTGAAACCAATCTTGCAGCTGCTCCAGTTGCAATTGAAAAGCCACAAATAAGACCCTGGGAAGAAATAAAATGAGAAGTGGCAAACTGCATTAAAAATAGGGGTTTTTAAACAACATCCACCTGATAGGTCTCTGTCAGAAATGTATAAGAGAGAAATGACTGTTCCAATTTCCTTCTCTTTTCTCTGAAATACTGAAAGGATTTATATGGTTCTTTTAAAAATATAAACCCTGTGTGATCAAAAACATCTCTGTCACACAATGTATAATATGACTTTGCTGTGTGCCTTCAAGTCATATGCCAACCATAAGGCAAATCTATTGTAGGGTGTTCTTGGCAGAGATTGTTAAGAAGGCGGTTATCTCTTTTCTTCCCCTTAGGCTGACAGTGTGAATCTTTCCTAAGGTCACCCAGTTTCCATGATTGAATAGGAATTTGAATCCAAGTCTCCCAGTGACTTAATCCAACACTCAAACCACTCCATATTGGCTCTACACACCAACTAACTTCACGAGTAGTCAAAAAATACTAATTGAAGCTGATATGTGAAGATAGGGCACCTGATAAGGGGGTTAGAACTGCAATAGACCACCGCAATTCTGCCTCCCTGTCCTTCTAGTCTCACTTGATATTTATTTATTTATTTATTGCATTTATATACCACTTTTCTTCTCCCTGGGGGAATTCAAAATAGTGTACATAATGTATGGCAAGATTCAATATCAACATACATATTAACCAAAGCATAATATCTAAAACAATGACATATAAATTTAAATTTAAACCATTAAAATCACATTAAACATAAAACAAAAACAAACATTTAGACAATTAAAACATCTTAATTAAAACATTAAAATCACATAATCCAAAATCATAATCTGAAGCAAACATTAAAATCACTTAATCCAAAATCGTAATCTGAAGCAATTCCAATTGTGAATTTCACATATTTCCTATTCATTTCTTGTACTGCATTATTTTACTGCCCTAAGGCTTGGTCCCATAGCCATGCCTTTACGTTCTTTCTGAAAGCCAAAAGGGAAGGTGCTGATCTACTATCACTGGGAAGGGAGTTCCATAGATGAGGAGCCACCACTGAGAAGGCCCTGTCTCTCATCCCCACCAACCGCACCTGTGGAGGTGGAACCGAGTGCAGGGCCTCTTCAGAAGATCTTAACCTCTGAGATGGTTCATAGAGGGAGATGCGTTCGGACAGGTAAGCTGGGCCGGAACAGTTTAGGGCTTTATAGGCTAAAGCCAGCACTTTGAATTGTGCTTGGTAGCAAACTGGAAGCCAATGGAGCTGATGCAACAGGGAGGTTGTATGCTCCCTGTACGCTGCTCCAGTAAGGAATCTGATGGTTGGACATAGGACCATTTGAAGCTTCCAACAGTGTTCAAAGGCAACCCCACATTGAGTGCATTGCAGTAGTCTATTTCACACAGAACCCTAGTGGGCAAACTGGAGATAAATTAACACCCTATTTTCTACACAAATCAACCTCATTAGTTTATTTTTTGCTGATCTGCAATGGAGCAGTAGCATTTTCAACTTAGGAAGAGTATTTCCATGGGTATCCAAACTATTTTAATTAGGAGATAGTTTGGTAGTAAGCAACACCACCACCCGGACATCAGAAATTTAGTGCTGTAGTTTGCTGTTGGCATTCATAGGCAAGAATTAACCCATTGCAGTTACCCATCCCTAACATGAATAAATCTTCTGAAAATGATATTTTAACATTCATCCAATGATAAGAAAAGGTTCTGCTGAAATCTCAAGCTGTCACTTTGTTACTTACCATGCCAATGCAAAAGAGAATGAACAGTAGCAGCCACGGGATATCTGTGCAACTTCGATCCTCCAGGGGCTTCCACTCTCGCTTGGAACTCTAGCATATTAGAATTGAAGAGGGAAGAAAGGGAAGGATGGGGGAAAAGATAATGGTTAGTCAAGAGTAATAATAGACATTCTGTTCTCTATACAGAAGGCATGAAACATAAGGAACTCACTAGGCCAAGGATATTCCTGATATACTGGGTTACAGTTGCCATATTTCCAAATCATTTGCATATTATTTCAAAATAACCAAACAGGCTTCTCCTGAGCCAAAAATACTGGAGTGGGAAGACAAAACATGCCAAATTTCTTCCTACTTGGGGGCATTTTAGAGGAAATGTTTTTAGAAAATAAAAATGACTCAGGTGCCCTATGGGCCATTAAAATGGTTCTGTGAGGCCTTCATGAAGCCTGAATTTGTACTTTGCCCATTTCTATGTTACAGAGTTCCAGTTCAGTTAGTTTACATTCTGCTGTAACAAAGAAGCACCTGGAAATTAATTTCAATGCTTTTCTAGCACTATCAAGAGTAGCAATAAAATCTGCCAGTGTAAGGAGTTCAATAAACAAAAACCAATCCAAACATATTCAGTGACCAATTGAATGTATAAACAGCATTCAGCCACAAAAGTACTGCATCTGAGCCACTGTGAAACTTGGGTGGTGATTTGCTGTGGTTCATTTGTAAATGGGAGACTATACACGTGTTAATTGCATCTGCGGGCTTAATTACTTTTATATACCATGATCAATAGGAAGAAGGTTTTGAGCAGTGGGATTATCAAGTAATTATTCTGTTAAAAAGATTACATGCAAATGGAGCCAAGAGATCACATGATAACACACATTTAAAAGGCATGTACTTGTAGTTAGTCATTACATTCTTATACATAAAAACTAAATATCCCAATAAAACCACCATCAAATGTACAGCTTTAAAACATTGGACCTTAGCCTTTGAAAGTTAATTTTAATTCTTTTTGTCATTTCAATGAAGGATAATCAAGGAAATCAAACCTTAAAGGGCTGAAATTCAAGAGATACTTGGCACTGTTGTAAATAGGAACACTATTTATAGTAATAAAGAACTCTGAGACTTGAGGATTTTAATTTACCTTCAACAAAAAGATGCAATTGAATAAACATTATAACCACTCTCAGTAAACAGGAAGCCATAGTTTCAGATTGCTTGGGAGTTACTATTAAAAATAAGCCTTGATATTACAACTGAAATACAATAATTAAAATCAAATAAGAAAAATAAAGACAAACATAATGTTATACAGTTTCACTGTATTATACATGTATTTTAATTTGTATTTAAAGTATTATTTATTTTATTTTTGCTAGTTGCTTAAGAGTTCTGGTTGCTTGAGAGTTCTGGTTAACTGAAACTACTGTAATATGAGGTAAGTGTGTAAATGAATGACTAGCCAGAGTGCCCTTAAAGCCATCTGAATGTGACTAACCTTGTGGAAATAATCTTTTAAAAAAACCGAACGAGTGAATTCCTAAAACAATGTACCAAAGTTTGCAGCCTGGGCAAAAAAAAGTTTTCATTGTAGGAAAAAAAAAAGAATTTCCCAAGTTGAAGCTCCAAAAACTTTACTACTTCTTTATAGGTTTCTGAAACATTAGGAATGCCAGGATTTCAAGTTCATAACATAACACCATCACAGACCATTCTGATGTATAGCCCATTGTATTCATAATACAAAAGGAACTAAACAACACTTTTCATCATTGTGTGCAATGCTTTGACAGGTTGGAGGGAAGTTAATAATGACCATTGTATTAGCAAAAGCAGGTACTCTTCACCTCTTTTTGCCTAACAAAGCTTCAGATTCAGCATTTCCCATATCAAACACATTTTAGGAGGCATAATTTAAAGGATCCACTTCAAGGGGACCCCAAATGGTAGACATGTTAAGTATTTGTACCAACACTATCACTGGGTTTAAAGCCACCTGGCAAATGGCTAGTCTCCAAATCTGAACTTGAATTTCCTTTCAAGTCAATCAAAAGCACTTGCTCGTCTTGCTCAGAAAGAATACTCTTGCAGAACTGGTAGCTGCAAGCACCTTAAGAGGCTTTCAATCTCGTGACCACCTGTTTTCTATTATTTATGTGCACACACAGCAAATTCCTTTGCCAAGATAATTAGAGAACCACATGCTAGATATAAGCTACGCAAAAATTATGCACACAGCCTACAGTTGTAAAATGTCAAAAAAATATTAAAAATTGACATCCCTTATCCTCTATATTTCTTCTACATCACACAAGAACCTCCAGGTAGTGACAGAATGGGAGCAAGGGAAGAAGCAAGAAAGTTCTTTTTCCCTTCATTGAAGTGATTGGCAATGTTGTTTGATGCAGAATTCATTTCTTTTTCAGTGCTGCTCAACTAGTAATTTTCCAGAAACACACCAAGCCTATCAAAACAGGGCGAATTCCTCACATGCACACATTATCTTTTGGTTTTCATATGGGGAGGCAGGCAGGATATAAATCAAATAAATAATTAGAAGAAATGCAGTATCTCTAACAAAAGAGACCCAAACATGAATTCCAGAAAAAGTATATTGCCAGATATAGACTGAAATAGTTTTAGCTTGCTATGCTGACCACGGAAATAAGTTAAAGCAGTTTTCAAGTAGTCTTCAATATTTTAAAAGGATACCTTTGAGAATGTGTCATCCTATGTTTGACATGTTTCCATTCAGTGCTTTTAACCCCCCCCCCCTTTAAAAAAACACCTTCTTAATGATCCTCTAAAGATGCCAGTCACAGATGCAGGTGAAATGTCAGGAGAAAATGCTGATAGAACATGGCCATACAGTCTGGAAACCACACAACACTTCACCTTCTTGAATACCAATTCTGACACATCAACCTAAAATCAATACCTATGGTAATCCTAATCACGATTCTACTTTTAATTAAATAATCAAATATCCTGACTCTGACCCCTCCACTACCTGTTGGTTTTTCTGTGTCATTTTTTTTCCAGTGAATTAGGGCTACATTGCTCTTGACTGTTTGCTTTTTATGTGTGTTTGTTTTAATACATTGGCTCTATCCACTGTACACATTTCCTTGAAACACCTTTGCAGTTTTTCTCATCCATAGAGAAGACTCAGCATCCTTGCAAAGAAAGGAAATGTATTTGAAGTAAAAGAAACACATATGTGTCATCTGAGTCTCCTGCAGGAGAGACAAAGCGGGGTATAATTCAATATAATAATAGTTGTTATTGAACATATCCAGAGAAGGGCAATGAAAATGATCAACAATTTGGAAGCCAAGTCCTATGAAAAATGGCTTAAGGAGCTGGGCATGTTTAACCTGGAGAAAAGGAGGGTGAGAGGATAGCCATATTTAAATGAGATCATGCTCAGTTATCTGCTGCTTTTGGAGACTAAGATACAGAGCAATGGATTCAATTTGCAGGAAAAGAGATTACACTTAAACATTAGGAAGAACTTGGTAAGAGCTATTCAACAGTGGAATCTGCAGTCTCAGAGAATGGCAAAGTCTTCTTGTCTGGAGATTCTTCAGATGAGGCTGGAGGGCTATCTGTCAAGAGTGCTTTGATTGTGTCTTCCTGCATAGCAGGGGATTTCACTGGATGATCCTTTGTAGTCTTCTCCAACTCTATAATTCTACTCTGTTGGTCAGATTTCCTCAATGCACAGTAAGTACCATTTCTTTGCAAGACCAGATCCCTGTGCTATGAGTCAAGTTTCTCAGTCAAGAGGAGAAAAAGAACTGCCATATATGACAGCATTAACTCCCGTACAATTATGGTTTATGGCAGCTTTCTGTATCCCACTATAGATAGGAATGGCAGATGTTGCAATCTTTCTTCTTTTTTGCTAGCTTTTTATAATGCATAATTCACTGGTGCTAACTTTTCCATTTTCTGAAAGCCTGACATTTCTTCTTATGCTTTTTACCCTACTACATAATGGAGGGATGCAATTATAGGATGAAAGTTGTGATTTTTCAACCCTTAACCTACCCCATCCCTGCTAAAGTAGAACCTGCTTTTGTTAGAAAGTTTCTGATTGTGGAAATAGTTTCCCAAGGGAAAACTCAAGGCAAGTTCATGTGTTTTTTTCTGAGACTGGCTTAAATGGCAATAGTAATTCCCATTCCTTTGGGAGTAGTTTCCCCAGAGAATCAGTTACAACGAATGAGGAAAAATCAGTCTGTTTTGTATAGTGAGTTCATGTGGTTATTTTGTGATGTCCATTTACTTGTTTACTATTACAGCTCTAGCTATTATATAGTTCTGGTTGATGAGATGTTTAGCTGTTATCCCTACCATCTATAGTACTTATGACTGTCTCCCTTATAGCTCCACGACTGAGAAAACTAAGCACCCGCAACTTGAAATTATTTGGAATCAGACAAAATGCTTATAGGGTTATATCAGGTTGCTTTTCTATAGATGGATAAGTACAATTATATTGCCATGCTGCCATCTTAAGAAATTCTTGGATTTGGAGATTGGTGGGGTAAACAGGAGGGATCCTGATAAAAAAAGGAATTGTGGATGGACTCAAATTTGAAGGAACTGGGTTGTTGTAGGTTTTTCCGGGCTATATGGCCATGTTCTGGAGGCATTTTCTCCTGACATTTCGCCTGCATCTATGGCAAGCATCCTCAGAGGTAGTGAGGTCTGTTGGAAGTAGGAAAATGGGTTTATATATCTGTGGAATGACCAGGGTGAGACAAAGGACTTTTGTCTGCTGGGGCTAGGTGTGAATGTTTCAGCTGATCACCTTGATTTGCATTCAATGGCTTGGAAGTGCCTGGGGGGAATCTTTTGCTGAGAGTGATTTTATGTGACTGTTTGCTTCCCCTCTGTTGTTTTGCTGTTGTAATTTTTTAGTTTCTTAATACTGGTAGCCAGATTTTGTTCATTTTCATGGTTTCTTCCTTTCTGTTGAAACATTCACACCTAGCCCCAGCAGAAAAAAGTCCTTTGTCTCACCCTGGTCATTCCACAGGTATATAAACCCATTTTTCCTACTTCCAACAGAC